TGTCGTGTCACCTTGAGACACAGAAGAAGGACCGGCCAGTGGCGTGGAGACTCCACTTGAGAAGCGCGCGGACTTGAACGAAGAAGAGACGGATAAAAGAAACGGTTCGGAACTGGTTCGGCGGCCAAGTCGAGCGTTCCCGGCCGCGCACCACGTACACCACGAACAATACGATTTTCTAGGAGGAAACGGTGCAGAAGAAGCGACGGAGAGCAGGCGGTGTTGCACACAGCAGGAGAAGGAGACAGAGGAAGAGGAAGAGAAGGAGAAGAAAGAGGCGGAGGAGGCGAAGAAGGAGAAGAGAGGAGCAGGCATGGAGGGTCGCGGAGCACGTGAAAGGCGATTTAAAGGGAAAAAGAAGGAGGTGGCCTTTAAAAAAAAAAAAAAGAAAAAAGAAGAAAAAACGAAAGAACATGGCGAACCGGTCGCAGCCTCCATTCGTCAGCTGGGAGCTCAGCTGCAGCCAGGCGCGGTGACCTCGACGGAGCTTCACGGAAAACCAAGTCAATTTGCAAGCAATAACGGTGTCGTGCCTCGCGTCCTTTTCATCGGTGATTTAACGAACTTTCCGTGATGCACGCTGTTATTACTGTTACTGTTCGTGTCTCTACATTTTCTTCTTTTTCTTTTTCTTTTTCGATTTTTCCTCCCTTAATTTTGTTATTTTTAAACGGCGCGCGCGCGCGCGCGGATATACACGTAGATACACGCATTGATGACAACCGTCGAATTTTCTTCGATCGTCGAGGAACCCGGCGACGTTCCATGAAAACGCGGTCATCGGTCGCTTTACAGGTGATCGAAAGTACCCCCTCGACCGACTGACAGTTCAACGACATTCGTCTTTACCACTGCACGAGAAAAAGCGTTTCCCCTTTACGAGAGCTTCGCGTAAACGCTCCCTATCGATAACAATCGTACCTGAAAATCCTCGAGATCTCGAGTTCAACGAATCGCGCGATTACCCTCGAAATAACCCGCGTCACTCGATTGATCAGATGCCCAGATTCGGGTACGTGTACCAATGCTTTCATACGCCGCCACCGATTATTCGTTCACACTTGAAAGAGATGTGTCGAAATATGATGCACGATTTCACGTTTAACGTCGGAATGTAAGATGTCCATCGTGGATTGCCCATTAAAGATTTTCAGCTCGTCGAAACATTTACACATCGAGCCTTAAGATTGGCTGATGCATCTATTTACCAAACCTTTCATTCATCACTCCTACTTTTGATATGCACTCGGGGAAAAAAAGGAAAGATGTACAGAAACGTAATGTACCAATTCCACCTATAATGTCGAACTGGCAAGATTTTCGTCGCCAAATTGTGTACACGTAGCCAAGACACGATCGACTAACGTGACAACCAAAATTTTCGATCTACCAATGACACACGTATTGAAGCTCTGATCGACGAAACGATTGAAAGGAATAAAAGGCTCTCGCGGACTGTTGCAATTAAAGGTAAAAAGAGGTTACAGAGATAGGGATTCGGAGCACCTCTCGACGTCCCAACGAAATTACATATATTTAAACGAAAGGAGACGAGCATCTGCAGAGCAGTCGAGACAGCAAAACGTAATTCGAACGTGAAACGGCGGCGAAAGAAAGAGATTATAGTTTTTAAAAGAGAGACGATAAACCGGTCGGTGCGTTCGTTCATCAGCTGAGAGCTCAGCTGAACCCAGCGGCCGCTGTAACCTCAACCTTTCTAATAGGCTGTATCGCACGGAGAACGATTAACTCTCGGTGTCCGCGAGTCCTTTAGATACAGACTAAGTTCAAATACCTGACATTCGAGTTTCATCAACGGGCGAACGACGAAACGCACGGGAACACAGAACTTTCGGGGATAAAACTTTTTGAAAGCCCACTCACAATGGAATCTTCCAGTAGACTAGCCGAGCCGGCAAGCCGTTCTCTTTTGCGTGCACACCCACCTTTTCGCGCACTGTCCCGAGTTTTACACCGTTAGTCCTTCTTTCGTGGACCGTCCCGACTTTTCAAACAGCGGAAGGCTCGACGATGAGGTTCAGCCCTCGTTTCGATCCGTCACAAAGTGCTTATTTGCAGCAGAAACGCGGCGGTATGCATACCGCTGACAGTTCCGAGCTGTCACTTTTTGACGACCGCGCGCCTCCCGCCATCTGGTGGCGCTGCCATCAGACATCGGCCTATTTGAAAGAACCGCGCTCAGATCACCTAGCAACAAGATCAATAGGCTAAGTTACAGCAAGTCGAGCAGTAACCGATACATCTATAGCGATTCCATCAATTATTTAATTCAACCAAAGGTAAATCAGTGTGCGAAAGGCTTCATTTCTCTTTTCCCTTCTTTCTTTTTTTTCTTTTGTGTCAGTTCATTGTCGCGTTTGATTGGTTGGATATTTACTGAAATTCTTACTGTTGAAAGAAACTAATTGTAAACAATCGTAAGTAGTAATTAAATATTATTATCTGCATTAGTAATTACAACTCCACGTCGATTGAAAAAAATCGACTTCCGGTATTGCTCCGGATCTTATTGCGACAGACCGGACCTTGCAGGACATAGACTTTCGAATACCTTCGAAGTTCAAACGTCATAATGATATAGAATCACTAGACAGGTATTTGATTTTCATTTAGAGTTTTATTATAACAATCTCGTTCCACTAGTACAAAAAACCGGACATCCCCACGATCATTTATAAGATATAACAATATATTATACAAACATTTGCGTTTTCGGATGCTTACGCCATATTTTTCTTACTTTGTACTTACTTTCCTATCTCTTTGTTCCAGTGTCTTTGTTTAGTGGTCCATATCACAATTGCTTCTTGCTTTTATGTGGAAATACAGACAAGCTGCTCACAATACTCAAGATATATTCACTCTCACATCAATCGTGACTGTATCATCTCTTCTTTTTTTTTTTTT